AAAACAAAACACATAAATTTCGAGGCAAAAAAGCACACGAAACATGCCGCAAGTACATAAGCGTTTGCAACACTTGTATTCGCGTATAAAAGCACAAAAATTTAGGCCAGTGATCACCTTGGTTGTCTTTGAATTGCCATTAAGATCGTTCGGTTCTTGTAAGCTGTTTATAATCCGATACGACAATTGCTCGTTGCCTTTCTTGCAGCCTTTGTGAGAAATCGCAAGCGTTTCTCGGAAGAGTCCGTCCTCGACGGCAAACCGTAGTTGCTTCGAGATGTCCGCTTGCTTCCATTCAAATTCACGCAAAACGAAGCGAAGTATTCGCTCTTCGTTCGGGCATTGCTTTTGATAACAAATCCCTTTGATGGCTTCGTATATGGCACGTGAATACTGCGAGTCAGAACTTCGGCGCACACAGACGCGAACCATAGTCGAAAAAAGCTGTTTTCCAAAGCTGAGACGCTTCACAACCGACGTGCACAAACCACAAGAGTCAAACAACGTTTACAAGCCCATAAAAAATCATATAAGGCAGCGAGCTTTTTCGAGTGCTGACAGTCGAAGTGCTTTCGCTATCCGGATACGCATCGCTTCCGTTTCAACACGAATTTGTAAATACTACACGCTCGCTTCGGGAAAGTTGCGGTGCACAAAAGCAAAAGTTTCGCTTGTTTTTTTTGTCGGCTAACAAACCTTCTGTTGTTTAGGGCGCATAAATAATGGCTTCGAGTCGTTCATATAGCGATTATTGATGATAATAGGCCATTTATCGCCCGACGAATGTGCCTAAAGTTTGTGAAACATTATATTACGAAGAGTGTTATTTCCGCTTCCACATTCGACATTATGTCAGTTTATAAACAAAGTTATTTGTTCGCAAAAATTTGCATCAGAATACCTGCCCATACCCTTGTCACGACTAGCCGGAGGTACAGTATTTTAAAACCAAATGACAGCCAAATCCGATTTTTTAATTTGCTAAGAATAAAAAAAAAGGTTCTGGTTTTATAATATAACCGCTCCCGTAGGAGCAAAATTGATTGAATTTCGGAAAAAAAACAGGAAAGTAATTGGCGATGACATTTTGTCAGGTTTATTGCTAATTTCTCCTATTTTCGTGCCAATTTTTGACATTTTTTGTCGCCAGGTTTGACATTTTTTTGTGCCCAATTTTAATCTTTTCTGTTGTCAATTTTTGCTACTTTTTGTTGTCGGATTTTGCTACTTTTTGTTGTCATTCTTTGCTACTTTTTGTTGTCAATTTTTGCTACTTTTTGTTGTCAGCTTTTCCTACTTTTTGTTGTCAATTTTTGCTACTTTTTGTCGATTTTTGCTATTTTCCGCTAAATTTTGCTAATGACGTATTGTTTTCTTCTAATTTCAACCCCGCTTTCTTGTCAATTTCCGCTTGCGGAAATATATTTTAGCCACAACCTGGCACATGAAACTTCTCAATTTAAAACCTCTGTAAAATAAACCAATAAAATCGAACTGAATAAAATCGCGCCCAGAAGCGATAATTGAGGGGTGATGGACGTATTTAAGTCTGGTTAACAACGTACTGTGGCATTTTAGGCAAAAAGACACAAAACTTCTCGACATTTCGATTTTCGAGCGAAGCGGCTTCGTTAGGCGAGTGAGTATAATCATACCCACTTTTTTGGTGAAAACCATAAGGTCGAAACGTCGAGAAGTGTTTTTTGTCTATTTAGGCAGTTGTTAGATGCAAAGTTGTTTAAACCACGCCACGCTGCTCCCTGGCTATGTATGGTGGGTGCATATTATTCATATATTCGTCTTGTGCCCGACTGAATGATTTCCTCCTGTAGTAACACTGGATCAATAAGGGATAATCCCTACTAGACTTCTAGGAAAAACAGTTTAGAACCGATAGAGCTATCCAATATAAATGTTAGTTTAGTTTAGGTTTTCATCCGTAGTAACCCTCAGTGGCGTGGCCAGCCTAACGATATGCAAATTTTACGTTATTATTATTATTCATTTCTTTAGGAATTCATTGTTTTCACAGTAAATGAACACCACATTTTAGCATAGCATGACTAAATTGTCGGGCTGGCTACGCCACTGGTAAAACTGAGTAATAAGAGATAATCCTCACTGCATGGGCCTCTGGGAAGAACAGTTACGGTTTACTGAGTTTAGAACTGAGAGAACTATCCAGTATAAATACAGTTAGTTTATATACTTTAGGTTTCCTACTGTAGTAACACTTACATGCACGACTTGATCTGACAACAAAACTATAAGAGATGACCCTTTAGAAAAAAATGTATATATAGAACAGATCACTGAAAAGCAAATATGAACTTCCGTCCGAGCGTTTACAAAGCCAAAGAGCGAAACACACACATCAATCATGCACACAATCTTGTAAAAACATCTCAAAATATTTATTAGGATAAAAACCTATATATTCCAATTTAAGATAAGTCAATATTTATATATAAGTACATATATATACTATCTAAGACTGTAATGTACACATACTCGCGCAATGCCTCAAGATCTCAATAGGTAAAGTGTATTCTGATTAATTTAGCATTAAAAATTCTACAGCCAGCCTGGGAGTGAGTTTGGAGCACTGATCTGCAAACTAAGCTGGATGGCCGTCGAAGACATCGATTAAAGACACAAAACACCTTTTTTACAAGTATAGAACATTTTTAGATTTTTATCTGTCAATAGCTCCTTAAAGATCGCTTGTTATGATATTTATTGCCAAGGGCTATGTATGCAATTACCTATGCAAATTTGGAAATAAATAAATCATAAATGGTTAAACTATAGACGGCCATGTTTGATGGCAGCCCGGCAAATTAATTTCAGGGTTGGATTTTATCGAGTGTTGTTACCCAAACTTTTTATTCCAACTAATTTTAAAATCGTAATACGTTTTAAAAGGTTTTAATACCAGAAACTTCAAAATAGAGCTGTTTTGTAACTTAGTACTAGGGAAAACCGCTAGCAAACTCTCTGTTTTAAATCCACAGAGTTAAGTGTGCAATAATTTCGCTAAATTACAAACGTTCCAAATAAAATTCGTGATTTTCAGCAGTGACGTATTTACCACGAACGTGAAACACATACGGCAAAGCTGAATTTGCTGCTATACTAAATACATCAGAATGGCCTGTTGCTTTCTCATATTACTGCTGAACTTCACGAGTTTTATGTAGAACGTTTGTAATTTAAACTCAAAACTAAAAGGCTCTGAATAGACATATCCAGGACAGACATATCTGGAAGTGTTAAAAATGACTTAAAAAGTTTTCTGTCTTAAAAATGATAAGCATAAACCATCCAGCTTTCTTATCGTATCAGCGTATGCTGTCAAACATTCCTCCAAAGCCAAACAATCCCCCCTGATTATTTTGAACCACTGATTTGAACTCATATAAAACCTACTACCGGTAGAGGAGCCCTTTCCACGGGGTGGAAATTTTTTAGCAAACGAAATTTCTCGCTCAATTTCTTCTTTAATCATCACCAGTCAATGACTGGCAAAACTTTTATAGAAAATCGAAGGATACATTTTTTACCGAAAACGGTGGTAATGTACAGCTCACAACCGTGGCGTCGCCAGCATCGATAAGTGCATGGGGTGGACATATTCATATATTCATGTTCACAGACCGTTACGACAATCAATTTGAAAGAAATGAATAATGTCTAAAACACGAATATATTAATAAGTCCCCCCCCCCACTTATCAAGCAGGCGACGCCACTGGCTCACAATGCAGCATATATTTTACAAGTTCTTTTCAGGGAGAACGTTTTTTATATATCTCGTTAAATAAGTATCTGCAACTACACTGAGAACCGCTTGTTAGCCTGAAATTTTTTGAGCCGATTCAACACAATTGAACGAGAAATGAGTCGCGAGAAAGAAGTATTTTGTCTCTTGGAATTCGTTTTTGTTGATCGGATGCAGGTCCTATTGATAAGCAGGCTATATAAACAGTGTGAAATTGACCTTTTTGGCCGCGTCTAGGAAAAGCCAAATAAAAAAACGACTGCTTTAAAACAGTATTTGAAAAAGCGTCTTGTTAATTTCTAGCGACTTTTTACAAATAGGGACATTAAACAACTGCGTTAGATAGACTTGTTTTAAAAGAAAGCAGATTTTTAATGCTCTCATAGCATTGCTCGCGAATACCTGCCTATCGGATCCTTAAATGACCCTATAGTTCCTTTTGCACAATCCCCGACATCCCGAGGTATGCTTCGTTGTCCCTTAATACCTCTACACGAACACGGGAGCCTTGCTTTCGTCACTCTCCGTCCCGTCCCAGGAGCTGTAGTTTGACACAGACGAGCGGGCCTGGTCTTGAGTGAAAAAGCGCCTGAACGTGAACTCGTAGAACGCGTGCGATGGGTGCTTGGACTTTGTGCCATCGTCGGAAATCTCCGTCATGCTGGCGCAATCGCTGTCCGGCGGACGTTCGGGGCCGACCGGATCGAAGTTCGACGTGTCTTCAGGATGGAGAATCTGGGGAATGTAATGCGCTTTCGTTCGACGGATCATGAGCCAGTCGATGCCGTGGAAGAATGAATGGTTCTTGATATCGTCCACGCCACCGTTGCCAAGTCTTTGATTAGCGCTTGTACACAAATGGAGAATAAGATCTTCAGCTTCGGACGAGAGTTTCGCCTGTCTGGGGATATTCAAAGTCGTTTCCCAGTTTATAACCTACGAAATATAGGGTTAGATTTATAACCGTCTGCACATTTGCCCAGAAAAAAGGCCTGAGGTAGGCGTTAACCTTGGGTTAAGTGAACCGTCTTGGGCACCCGGCCCCTGGACTGACGATATATTTGCATATTTTCTTTAGAATTTTAACAGCAGAAATAAATTAGTTCAAAACAACTGTTCTTAATTCAAATGAAAATATGCAAATATTTCGATAGAGAACTATTTCTCTGTAAAGCCGGTTTTCCACAAGCGATATTTCTCGCGCGAAGCGACATTTTGCTTTTGTTTCAGATCTCTCAACTGCAACTATCTGGAACAAATTGCTCAAATACAAAGGAATAAAGTCGCTTCGCGCGAAAAATATCGCTAGTGGAAAACCGGCTTAAATGTATATCCAGCCTAAGTGTATCATACAGACTAGAAAACGTCAAGCTAAATACAGCTCTGAATAATATCTAGTCCTACCTTCATTTGGGTTTCAGCGGCATTAGGAGAGTAAAATGGTGGTCGCCCAACCAACATTTCGTACAATATGACTCCGACCGACCACCAATCGCAGAGGTGTGTGTAAGGTATCCGCAGCAGCACTTCTGGCGCGATGTAGTTTGGCGTTCCGACCAGCGAGTGCGCTTGGCAGCGCATGTGCTGACGTATGTGCCGCCTGGCCAGCGGCTTCTTCCCATCCATGGCATGCCCGCAGCGGCATTTGTGTTCCTTCGCCCAATTGTCGTCGATCTCCAAACTTGGATTACGGCTGTGATTTCGAGAAAGCGTACCGCTCTGATAGTACTTGGAATCGTGTGTCCAACGGAATCCAGTGCAGAGGCCAAAATCGGTCAGTTTTATGTGACCGTCGCTATCGATCAGAACATTATCGGGCTTAATGTCCCGGTGGATGAACCCCATACGATGAACAGACTCGATAGCCAACACAAGTTCCGCGATATAAAATCTCGCCATGTCCTCGCGAAATACACCCTTGTTTATCAACAAGCTCATAAGGTCTCCGCCCGGAACATACTCCATGACAAAGTACAGATTATCCTTGTCTTGAAACGAGTAAAACAACTTCACCACCCATTCGTTGTCTGCTTCTGCAAGAATATCGCGTTCAGCCTTCACGTGGGCAACCTGATTCCGTTTTAATACCTCCGCCTTTTTTAATATTTTCATCGCGTATAATGATCCTGATTGCACGTGTTTCGTCAAACAAACTTCGCCAAATGCCCCGACACCAATCACTTGCAGTTTGTTAAACATGGACGGGTCCATTTTGGTGCGTTTCAGACGGATATAGTTGGATTCTTTTTGGCTCAAGATTTTTCGCATTTGCGACTGCGCGTCCTCCGAAAGATGGACTCGTCGCATTTCTTGTTCGAGCTGAGCTTTCCGCATTTCCCGCTCTTTCGCATCCTTCAGGACGTTCTCCATCCTCTGTTCCATGTAAAATTTGTACGTCTGTGGGGACACGTGCCGCCGCTGACTTCGCTTTTCGCCGTTGACGGCGGACTCCGCATTGCTGACGTCGATTTCCGGCCGCTTCCGAACGTGCACGACGAGGGTGCCGGTTTTGTTCTTGTACACGGGCGGACCGCTATCTTCGTCCGTGCCGTCGAATGACGTCATCGAAGCAAGGTCGAACCCAGGAAAATCTGCGTCTTCGATAGTGGAAGAGTGACTCTCTGAGCCATCCGAGCTGACAGACATATCATCGATTGACGGGACATTCTGGTGTACCCACCCCTCAAGCTGATTTGCCCGGCTGTTTGATTTCAATGAGCTCTGGCCGCTCTCGGGCGGCGGAGCTGTGGATCTACTATTTTGATAGGGAGGTGGATACTGCTCGGCCCTTTGGGGGAAATTCCTTGAAGTATTATTCATCAAGGATGGTTGCGAGGCCACTGGACCGTTGTGATAGTCCATCGCCGGCTCAGGTCTTGGATACCCAGACTGCACGCCGGGATAGCCGCTCGGACGAGGATCCTGGGCGATGGTGACCGGGCTGGTCTGCACCAGCACGCGAAACGTTGCTGACTGTCCGGGGCTTTTCGACACAACGGGTGTTAAACTCGTAGGGGGAGTAGTGACCTGGGGGCCGTTCGCTGCATTGAGGTTCACTTGAACTTGGAATTGTGGCGTGGCCATCTGGGGGGGTTGCTGTGGAGGGTACCCACCGGTCGAAAAATTGCCATGGTTACCATTTGCTGGCGGGGGCAATTTGTTTTGGGTCACCGAATATGGTGTCGACTTCCACGAAGCACCGCCTTCGGGTATCCCCGATCGGCTATTTGGTACCGGAGACTTGCCCCTGCTCGGCACATCCGGCCATTTGGTGACTTTCCATTCGGCCTGTGAAATTGTCTTGTTCCCAGAAGGTAGTGCGGTCGTCTGCATGTAGGTGGATGTTTCCACCTCCCTCGTAAGGTGGCTTGCAACTGGCGGACGATCCGGACCGGGTCTGTTGTGCTTCTGGTGGGTGGGGAATCTGTAGGGTGGTGGGGACTTGGTGGGAAATTGCATGTGGTTGATGGGACTCGGCGCCTCGCGACCTCGAGTGGCGTTAGGGTTTATCCTCTGGTACCCATCGTTGTTGGCCATCGCACGAACGAAGTCGAAGTCTGACGGGGAAAGTAGACTGTGATGTAAGGCATCCTTGGAGATCGAAAATAGAAAGAGTTATGAGTTATTTTCAATATTTTTATTATGTATGGTAGTAGATTGGTAATCTATAATATTTCCATATTTAAAATCGACAAATATAATCCTTGATAATGCTTAATTTAACCCTTAATCTAATCCTTTGCTGTTAGTAGTTGGGTCAGGATAGTCTAGGTAAAATTTGAGGATTAGTTGGGATTATATTCGCGAAATCTGTACATACAAATTACTATTCTTTTCCGCGCGTAAACTAAATTATAAAAAATTTAAGGCTAATTCGAAAACGCCGCTATATTTCAGTTTCACATTATCCAATACCTCAAACCAGATTATCTATTCATATTAAATTTTGAATGCTTTTTACAAACTGAACTGCGCAGTGCTAGTAAATTTCCCTTGGTTGATTATTCAACCACGCAAATCACTAGGACTTAAATTCTGATTTTTGACTTAATATGGTCTGTCTTAATGACATAATTTATAGAATAGTATGAAAACATAAGACCTTATATGTCACGAGGGAATTTAGTAAAAATAAAGTTAGTTTATAATACAGCTATTGTTTGGTCTAGAGAGACTAGAGAGTTTAGTCTGATAGAGCTATCCAGTAAAAATAAAGTTGGTTTAGTTTAGGTTTTCTCCTGTAGTAACACTGGATTATCCTTATAGGACCTGTAGGAAAATCTGTTTATAGAACTGATTGAGTTATTCAGTATAAATAAAGTTAGTTTAGTTTATGTTTCCTCCTGTAGTAACACTGGATCAATAAGAGATGATCCTTACTGGACCTCTAGGAAGAACAGTTTAGAACTGATAGAGCTATTCAGTATAAATAAAGTTTGTTTAGTTTAGGTTTCCTTCTGTAGTAACGCTGGATCAATAAGAGATTATCCTTATGGGACCAGAAGGAAAAACAGTTTAAAACTGATTGAGCTATTCAGTATGAATAAAGTCAGTTTAGTTAAGGTTTCTTCCTGTAGTATAACACCGGATCAATAAGAGGTGATCCTTACTGGACCTCCAGGAAGAACAGCATGTGTGAGAAAAATGCTATAAAACCAGTTAGACATAAGACTTAGACAATTAAATTGTCAACACATCGCTAAGTCATTGGGAACTATAGTGCGCTGCGGGTACATAAACAAAGTATACGCTGAATAGAACTTTAGAATGCCAATACAAGGAGAAGGCTGGCAGGCTGACACCTTCTTTTAACAACTTAGCATCAAATGTGCTATACAAAAATTTCATATCATAAAATAGACAAAGACACTTCTCGAAGTTTCGAACCAAGGCTAAGGTCGGATTAAGGTCCTGTTCAAGAGAGTTACTAACTCTCCTGAGAAAAGCCGCGGCTTCACGTCGAAACATCGTGAAGTATTTTCGTATATTTTACGGTAATTTTGTGTATAATGTATACAATATTTGATGCAAAAATACACCTAATGTTTGATTGTACCGTATATGTTCATTGCGAAGCTTTGAAATGACATTTAAAGTTTGTACCATTAAATTATTAACGATAATTCCTTAAATTTCAATTTGATGTCTTAAAACTAACAGTTCAAATTCAAAATCTAAATTATTTAGTAAATTATTTAAAGAACAAAGCCTCAATCAATGTCTAAATTAGCAAATAGCGCGGAAATTTCTCCACCCAAGAAAACTTTTCATGTTATAACAAAACGCCAGTTCTAAATTTATCCCAGAATTAATACAAATGAAAAAGTTTTGTTGCATCGACATTTGCTAATCACTAATTTTTTTAGATCTACAGTACGCCTCTTAGTTTATACGACGATTCCCTCACACACAGAAATGTCTCCGAAATTTTACGGCATTGTCAATTGCATATTTCATATTGAAATGAACGCTTTCTAATTTATTATTCGAGTGCATGTTATTTCACGCAGTTTATGTTGCGATGTTGGCGAGCGAGCGAGCCTTTACGAATCAACACTGACTGGTTTCATATTTTCACATGCATTTAACTCAAGGTGCAAAAAATGTAAATTTATAATTAACTCATTAGTATTTTGACATGCTACTTGCAAATTCACCTAAAGTGCAAAGTATTCTACTAAACTATCCATTAAAACATTATGCCCTTTGGCAGAAATCATGAAGCAGTTTTAATGCATTATGATCATACAATTATGTGGCAGTTTTTTCCTCATTTCTGCAAAAGCACCACATCTCCATTTACACAACAGCAGCTCAAAAATTCATACTTCAGAGAAGAAATGCCAGGTTACAAAACAATTATCTCAATAGCATGACATTTCTCCTTGGCAATTTTAAAATACCCCATTTTTTATGTCAAATTTTCAGAGGAAACCCAATATGGCATGAATACCTAAGACCCTGCAGATTAAATACCATTTAATTATCTGCTGACATTGGAATTTCATTAGTTGCTAACCCCAAAATGTTTGGGCAAAATAAACACTTACGGCATACCACGGCAGCTTTTTTCAATTTTCCTATCTTTACAACTTATTGACAATTAGAACATATGTATAAGAGCTCTTTCAAACTGAACTACAGAAAAGGTGTATCATTGAAACAAAATTGGCACTTTTCCAGAACATTCCATTCTCTAGAAATCTTACACTAATTCATGACACTGATTGAGGTATAATTAAAGCCATGTGCTTAAGTGCTTTAAAAGATAGAACTTTAGGCTTTAGCTAAAACAAGGAAAATAGAAATTTTAGTAATAAATATTAGGAAACTAATCAGTCTTACACTATTGAAAGGAAGCAAATTTTCAACACAAATTTAACTTGATGTAGTTCGGGCTAATGCCAGACAGCTTTACTTGGAAAAAAAGTGGCTTGGCATATCAAAATATGTAATGAAAGTTATCTGATATGATAAAATATGGCAGAGGGTCAGATATGCTTCAGCTATGAGTAAAGAAATAAAAGAATTACCCAACAGGGTATGTCCAAAAAGACAAAAAAAAAACTAGGAAAGAAATATAGTTGTTCTGATATCATATTGTAATGAAAATTGCTAAAAAAACTTTGCCTTTCATGTGATGAAAATTTTTGAAACGATTGATGTCAAAGGAGATAAAATTCTTATGAAAATTGTCTTTCAGGAAATGCCGAAAAGATATTTGAAAAAAACATGAGTGCTCACACATATATTATTTTTTTTACTGTCTATGGGCCTATGACATTTGCTATAAAGATGTCAGTTATGAATTTTGCTGGTTGATGAAGCCACCTTGCTGATGTTTGATAGCACATCTTACAGGAAATATGATTTGACATGCTTCAAATTTGTCCAGACAATCACTGTGAGTAAGTCTGCATTTATAACTCCAAACTGTGTAATTGAATTCCTGCATCAAATCCTGGGTCAAAAAGTTCTGAGTTCAAACATTCTGTGTGTTAAAATATTAGACTTCGTTATGATTTCACGTACATATGCCAAATAAAACACATTCCCAGAAAAGGTTAGCTAGATATTCTATGATTTTTTCCCCTATCCAAAACGTAATGGTAATATTTCAAAAGTACAGTTGTTCAACAGTGTTTCCCATTAATCACTGACATACAAGTACACTCTAGAAATTTTAGAAATCCCTTTCCAACTGACAGAATCCAGCCAAATAAGGGAGTTAAAACGCTGTAATCTGGGCTAAATAATGTCGAGAAAATCTCACATTTGACAATAAATATTTCAGATTTTTTACAAACGCTAAGTCATTTCATCTCAAAGGCACGCATGGCTGACAACTGACAATGCCGAAAAAATTATCGTCTGCCAAATTTGTAAGAATAAAGAAGTATTTAAACAATGCATGCAACTAAATCGAATCCCAAACGCGTAGGAAAGTTTCAAATTGAATAACGAATATTCTATTGTGACAGCACTTCGACCTCTTCTTTATTTCGACACAGTGCGCGAAAATTGCCCTTACAAATCCCCCAAAGACAATGGACAATGCTTCAAAACCGTAGCTTTTCACACGGTCGACGGAGATGTCTGTTTTGCACATTTCAACAAGCCGTATAATTTGGCAAAGCAGCTTTTGTGAAACATATTATTAGGCGTGAAAATTCTGCGATTCTCCCACGGGTGTTTCAAAAATGCGAATATTCTCGAGCGAACATATGTCCTTTCGAATTTGTAAAGATGTCTACAAATATAAATCTGCCGAGAAATTCATTCTAGACCATAGGCATACAACAAAGATTGTACATTTTAGCCACAGCGTCGGTTGAATTCCCCGACAATGCCGAAGTACAATTATAATGCGTTGAAAACTAGTGCTTTTCAGTTCAATGCAAACAGTGAATGCTTTTCGCGGTAAAAGATTGTCACATTTCGGGCATGAAATTCCACGAATGCAAATCTCTTTCAAAGTTACAAAACATTTGCGAATAGTTCTTCTCCGTTTAGCGAAAAAGCGCTTTTCGAATACTTTGTATGTTTACCAAAATCTATATAAAACAAATCTTTCAAGCCCTTGAGAAACTTATACACACGCCATGAAAAAATTATGAGCAAACAAATGGTGATGTAAACACATATTTTTTTCTTTCCCGATCTACAGGACTTTAGAACTTCGGCAAGCCGCAAGTTAATCGATGTTTTCATATTATAGCAATCTCCACAATTAAGCTAACTTAATAGAGTCACTCACCTTAGGCTAAAAGCGAAGAGTCATTGGACATGTTTGAAAATTTAAAGCCGTATTCAAAATACAATGGCTTTGAAAAACAAGAAAAATTTGCATGCGTTCAGATCGTGACTTACGTCGAAATGCGTATATTTTTGCATAACTGTTGTCGTAAGATGTTGTCTAAGGCCGGCGATAAACACATCGATACTATAAAACATAATAAAAACAGATAGAGGATCGTACTAACCTCATAGCTCGGCATAGCTCCAACAAATGGCTGGCCATTGAAATCATTCGCGCTTTGTGAAGAGCATTCAGAACTCGAACTAGAATACCCAGATTCGTCGTAGTTTCTGCTCGCTTGCCCGTTCCTTTCGCGATGGCCTCTGTTTGGCTCGGGAAAATTATTCCCTGGCGTGAAAAACCTCGGTTGATTGTTGGGTAAACGTTGATTCTGCGATGTGCTATGCGAAATGTGATCGTACGGCATTGGGGTTACCACGTTTGCCGTATTAACTTCGCTTCCATTTTCAGGCTCCCGTCGTAAATGCTTTAAGTTATCGCGAATCTCTTTCAACATCAGATTGTGATTGAAAACGAGCGGCGTGTTCACGCGAGAGTGCCGTTCGTCCATGACTTAAAAATACAGAACTACACTCTGAACTTTTCCCTTCTTTTTGGCTGTAATTCCCGATCTACGAAACACGATATAATTCCTTTTATATCCTCTTGACAATACAAGCTCTTTGGATCTTCAATATGCCCAAAACATGCCTCCGGTAAGCACTATAGTTTAGCCATTTTAACCACGCGAAATATTACAAGGCTTTATGCATATTTTTAATACGAATTTGCCTTATCGACTCGAATAATCTCGTGAAACTCGTTAATTTTACACCGGCGAGCCGCCAAACTCGCTACAGATATACCACGAAGTATCGGCTCTTCGTCGAGACGAAACGACGAGAGTTTCACACAAAGATTTCGCTCCAAAAGACCAAAATTTCAAAGGAATTTATGGCAAGCGACAACAACACGAAAATTGACGATTAGAAACAAATTACTTGAATTCCAAACTCGAAGGCGATTGGTGCTGCCACTTTTGCATTCCAATCTTCAATACTTCCCAATTAACGCTGATCTCGACTGTGAAATCACTGCACTGGATAGAGCACGAAGCCGCTCACCTCTTAAAGTGGTCTTATACCAATCTTTTTAAAATTTTTATTTTGAAAAATATAAACATTTTTTCATGCCATATTGCGAGCCAAGTTGCTCTGAGTGAAAAAAAACTTGTAACAGTCTTCAATCACTATAGTTACCCATACCAGACACACCCAATGGAGGAAAATTGACGATTTTTGTAAAAACGATAACAAACTGGGTTTTAACGATAGAATGACGGAATTGGTTTTACTTAGTTCTAAATGTTTTTGCCTCGGAGCTGAACGTCGAAAAAATAAAACTTTTCCAGTATTACATTTCACAAAATATAGAACTTCCACGATCTATCTCAAATAAACATTCGTTATTTTACTTAGACTGAACGAAAGGCAACACTTTTAGGTTCACGTCCGACCTAATTGTCTTTAAAGTCTACCATGAAAATTTTATCAAGATAGCTTTATTACTTTTTAAGTTATCTTTTCTCAAAATAAGGGGAATGAGAATTTGTGTTTGCTAAGAGCAGCGACAAAAAAAGTTTTGCATATATTCATAAATTATAGAGAACAATAGAATAGAACAATGAAACAATAGAATAAGCCAATGGACCCCTTTTGTTTGCTCGGGGTAAAACCCTAATTAATATCACTTTTCGTTTAATTCTCGCATTCTTTAGGCCCAGTTCATACATCGCATTTTGGTCGCGTCACTGAGGGAGACGTTTAAGTTTGCACCTTTGAAATTTTAAAAACAAAATGAATCGTGATTTTTGTGTATATATGAGACCACCTTTAATTAAGACTCGTTTACACTTGCAATTTTGCTGCAATTTTATGTGATTTTCTTCACCAAGGGCTTTTATGCATCAGAACTAATTATTCGTTCACATATGTCAATAGAAGAAAACCACACAAAATTGAATATTTTCTTCCGAATTTCTCATATACCAGTGGTTATGTAAGCATCAGTACGTACATCACCGTAAAAAGTTTGTACAAGTTTTTGTGGTTAATGGAAACAATACTGAACAATTTGTTGTACTGTAGCCCATGAAAATGGTTGTTATCATGTTAGCTTGATAGGCTTAAGGCACTGTTTCACCATGCAATTTTCCTTGCAAAGCAATTATAATTTATACGGTTGTTAATCTGTAGGGAGTTGCTAAGAAAACGTTAGCAGGTCATAAGAAATGTTCGTACTTGACAACTTTAGATGCTTCAGGAGTAGAATTACATTGCAAGTTGCAAGGAAAGTTTCATAGTGTAACACCTCTGGTTACCCGGGTTGAACGAAAGGTGAGTAAGTTTGAGGCATTGAAAAATGTCTTTCTGACAAAGCACATGTTATTCTTGAGACGACTACACCACGACGGCAACTCGGCAAGGTACCTACCTCAAAGTCATTTTACGCTACTTAATTAATCTCGGCTGAGTGAGATCATGTAAACAAACTCGAAAGATTTTATTCGCTTTTCCCCCGTGGGCGTAGCGGCCTTTATAAAATTTGCTCATGCAGGCGTAAAGGCCGACACAGAGCGGACGCGATGCGGCAACGCGACGCGAATTTTGAGTTTTCAGAAGCACATAAATTAAATTCTGGAAGCAAAATTTGAAAACAATGGATGCTAGAGCAGTCAAAATGTTTTATTGTTATGTAATCTATAAAGAATATTATGATAGTTTAAAATTTATTTGATTTTGAAAAATTAAAAACGTTGAAAATTCGCGCCGCGTTGCCAATTTGCGTCCGGTCTGTGTGGGCCTTAACGGGTTTAAAAAACACAGCGCCTCGCACTTGCGGGTTGTTTGTCGGCGCGATAATCGGCCTTGAAGACAAAAACAACAGAAATGGACGCTGGCACTGGCGCCCAATTCGCCTTCAAATTGGCTTTAAAGTTCGAGCTATCGTTCCCGTTCACATAGAGCTCACTGGAAATGGGTCTATAATTTCAGCCGAGGATGACTAAGCCAATGTTGTGTGTCTAACATGTAACAAAGAACTTTGATTTTTGGTACATTTTTTCGAACATATCTTTGAACCAATAACGATTTTAGCTGATATTGTAGCCCCGTTTACAATACACTCGATTTATTCGCACGGCACGGCTAAAATGGGTACCCGTACCCATTTCATCCGCGCCCGGCCTTTGTTTTGGTAGCCTGAACACGAGTGAAATTGGGCACGGGTACCCATTTTAGCCGTGCCGTGAAGATAAATTGACTGTAGTGTAAACGGGGCTTGTGATTAGCGCGTGGTGAGACGATAGTTTTTTGCACAATAAACTGACGCACAGACACACACTTCTCGGCTCTTCATTATTATGATTTATTAATTCGATTTGTATTAAGGAAAATTGTAGGTCTACAAAAATTTTGCAAATTTTAAAGGGCGGAAAACTTTTACTATAGCTACAGGCACTTGTATTTAAATTGGCGAAAAGGCGGTCATTTTATAGAACAGTGAATACAATATCGCAAATTTCTTATTGCAAGTACCTGTTATAAAATAACAAAAAATGTTAAATATCCGATAATTGGTGTTATACTCAACGTTGAATCATTCATCTGAATCATATATGGATGGGAATGGAAAAATTATGAATATCAAGATATTAAATTGTTGTCCAGGCATTCATTTGAATTATAACAAAGTGTCGTTAAGAATGTAAGAATTATGACTGATATGAATGCCAAAGAGTTCAGTCATTCATTTGAATAGACCTTTGAGGTGCTTACGTCATGTCGGTCTCGAACAATGAATCGCAATGCAATCTGGGAAACAAGTGGGACAAAATTGTATAGATAGAAAACTGTGTGACCTAAGCATTTCAGAAGGCTATTATAACATGTGTTGTTGAGACTGGAAAAATTATGCATGATGATTAATATCGAAATATTTAACTGTTTTGTCACGATTTTGAATCATAACATAACGTCATAAGGTTGTATTTGACTGTGAAAGATTTTCAAACTATTTTAAATCACTTATCAAAGACCCAACATGTAGTCGAGACTGAAAGATTTCTGGGGGGATGCAGAAAGGCAATTCCGACTTAACGCGAGAAATTAAATACAAGTACCATATCAGCTAGTAATTTAAACAGCACCCACCCCGTTACCGTATCCTACATTAAGTTATTCGTTTTTTAAATATGAATGAAATTGCTTCAAAAACTAAAAACTTGTATCTCATAGAGGTCTGGCGACCGTTGATGGGCAAGGACGTCGGAACAATGCGAAGGCAAGGCGGGGGGGGGGCGGGGGGCGGTGGCAGATTTCTGTGAGTTTGTGCTAATTCTGAAGAAGGTTGCCTGCTTTTTACATTGAGTGAGTCTATAAACGAATTGGAATGCATTCCTTAAATATTTAAGCACATCCATTGTCCCTGCTGGTAAAGGTCGCCCCTCCCCCTCACCTCAAAACGTCCGGCGTCCGGTTATAAAGGGGAACCTCACCTAACGCATTGTGCGCGTGAAATGTAGTAAATACAGACCTGCTTTGTTCTCATAAATACACTATTTGTACATACATTCAACTTTTTGGTCCTTTCTAGACAGGCAACGTAGGAATACTTTAAATTCAAGCACGCAGGTGAAGTAATTTTCAAAAGTAATTTTAGGGGCTGTTTACATGAGCCCGGTTACCCGAGATTCAACGAAGCGTGAGAGGACTTTGAGGTATTGAAATAAGTCTTTATGATACCAAACAAGCACATGCTATTGTTGTAATTATTATACGACTGCCAGGATCATGTTATCTGCTCATTTCAATACCTCAAAATCATCTCACGCTTCGGAATCTCGGGTAACCGGGCTCATGTAAACAGCCCCATAAATAGTTACAAAATTTGCAGGGCTAGTTTTTTAAAATTTTCAAAATCTTGCGAACAACCTTACTTATTCTAACATGTGCTTCTATTGCTGTAACGTGGGATTATCTTTTGCCTTGACCGATTAAGGAAGGCAGAATTAGCTCCTTGGTAGTCCAGTTTCATACATTAGGGTCAGTGATATGTGGTAAAGTAGTGAAGTGCGTCACTGACCGCAATGTATAAAACTGGACACACATACAAAATTGGGCTAGTATTTTAGTTTAAAAGCATCGGAAAAGTGCTATTCGAGACAGAGCCACATGAAACTTAGCAAAATTGACCTACTTCGTTTTAAAACAGTATTTGGTAGCTGGATTTTTGCCCATCACGGGTATCAGTAAAACTAAAAAAATTGAACTAGAGCAAAGCCGAACGGCTTTAAAGATTTTGCAGTTTTTGACTGCACTGATAAAGAAACTATAAAATGACAACACTTTTTTATGCTTCAAATTTGATTGCATCTATGGCCTACAATTATTTCAGACGTCTATAAGCGAAGCTATTTTTCACAATAAAAGCCTCAGAAAACAACAAGCAGTCGAGTTCTAGAAAAGTTTGGCGTATGTTTAAAATGAGTCAATTCCTTTCCTCATCATATCGCCGATTTGGAAATTTTGTTCCGAATTTCTGGACGTAGAAATTACGAATTCCAAGTTGGCGGAATTATCCAATCATGATGCGCTTCGATTCGTAACATGCCCAATTTGATTGGATAAGTTGTATCATTGTAAACTTTGAAACGAACATTTCAACTTTCGAACGAAATTTGCTACATCACGTGAAGAATCCAAATCCAAAATAAATTGTATCAGCATATTTTGGCTATTTTTTTCAAATTTCCGCCTTAAAAACAGTTAAATTCGGTGTTCAGAACAGAGATTTTCTAAGCCTGTCTCTATGTACATTTCTTCGAGGCAAAAATTTTAACGTCAGCGATGAGTTAAAAATTTACCATGTACAAATATGGGTGTCGAAACTATTGTCTGGTTTAAATTCCTAAGAGCGAGCATGGACCATTGTCTATATATTTTACATATTGACGAACTTCCCCCCTGACTGTCACCCTCTGCAACGGGGAATGTGCTAAAACTAGGATATTCACCTAGAGTGCAATTATCCAACAAGAGTGCCGTTTTACGACCCCCCAAATCGGATCGATATTTGTTTTGCACGGTGTAGGACGCATAACGCAACCTAGGTCAAACTACAATTCTACTGGTACCATTTTTTCTCTTTGAATTTTTGAGCCAGGGCATGGGCGTTCTTTGAATATTGCTGAGCTTGATCTCTCATCTGCCTTGTTCTGTCCTCCAGTACCTCTAACTTTTCACCTCGTTCGTTAAGGCTCTGGGAAATAGAGCATCGAGATCGCATGATGATTGTGGTAGGAGAAGCACTTCGTGTAGGACTCGTATAAGCGAGTGGTTGAAAAACAGCCATGCAGGTATAGGGCCAATACGTCAAAGACAATGTAATCAAGGGTTGATCACTTGTTCGAGAATACTTCATGATGTAAATGACTTGTGCAAACAAAGGTTGGAAACCAGCCATAATTCATGTAGCACTGGTACTTCATGAAGGTCTCATGTAAACAAAGCCTTAAAACCAGCTAAACTGGTAGGACTAGTACCTAATGTACGCCTCAACATAATGAAATGAGGATGTAATTTCAATTTATTCAAATCCCAGTTCATTCAAGCAAAAACCTACCTCCATATTCCTCGCCATTATATCACCGACACCACCAGATCTCGCCTGAATGTCCTCAGTCCCCTTTCCGGGCACTCTAGTCGCCAGCGACTGGGATGCTTTGCCACTTTCGCTGCCAACTTACAATAAATACAAAATGTCAGGGGTAATCATCCTGCCCTAAGTGGGGCGGGAGGGGGGGGGAAGGGGGTTTTTTGCACCTGGTCCAGGAGTGTGCAGGAGGGGTGCAATCTAGGTACCAATTTATCGTGATGTCATCTTAATAATTTTTTAAACAAAATACACTCTTACATCCTCTTATATCCATCCCCGGGAATCGTTGTTCAAAAGTATTGTTTCGCAATCAAAACAAGTATTAGCGCAAAACAAAGCCAATGAATTGGCACTAATGCTTCAATTCAGTTTGAATTAGGCTAAAGATGGCGGCAAGCTATCGTTTCAGTTGACATAGAGCGCTTTCCTTTATACGGTGAAAACGGTATTTTAGAGTATTTTAACAAAACTGCATTCACGTTTATCGTTATTTACATCCAACCGCCTCCTGAGCTCTTGTATGGCAATATAAAACTGGACTTACATAATCTCTCCCTGTCCAAATCTGAATGACCCAGATTTAGAAGCGACGCGAAAAAACCTCTACTGGGTCGCTCTGGGACGGATACAACCGTAAACAAGGTGCCGGAGAAATCTGGAAAATTTAACCTAAAAACAGCGTGTTTATTAGTACATCATAAAAATTATAACTAAAATTGTCTACTAAAACTCGTTTCATTCTAAAAAAGGCATAACTTGGTAAAAATTTATACGAGTCAAAGGGTTCATTTTCGGCCACTTTAAAGGACAATAAAAACAAAATTTTTATAGTCTCAGTTCACTGGTTCTTGTTTTATTTAGTCTAGTTTTATTTTGATGGAACGAAATAACTTGTCCGCCATATTGGATTATTGAGGATATGCATGATGATGTCAGGTGTGCAGTGACGCAATTTTCTTTATAAAATAACATGTATATAACTCGTGTTCTGATTGGTCGAAGCCCGTGTTTGGATCAGGCCATCCAAACACGAAAATTTAAAGTTTTAGGCCATCCAAACACGGAAACCATTAAGTAATTGTGTAATCTGGACCGTCAGTTATGGATATGAACCTGAAACTCGTTGCAATTTTAACGTATAGCTATGTTAAAGGACAGGAAACATTTTGAACAGCTTATAATTTTTACTCGACGAAACGAAGCAAATTCTAATGTATCATGAACCTTAATACGTGTATGTGTGAAAAAATGTGGTTTTCGACTGGCAATTTTTAACTCCTGGGGCCGGTTGTATGAAAGCCGGATAGCGCTATCCACCGGATAGTGGTTTAGGCCCCGTTTACACTACACTCAATTTATTGGCACGGCACGGCTAAAATTGGTATACCCGTGAAATGGTCATTCGTGCCCAGCCTTTGTTTTGGTAGCCTGAGCACCAGTAAAATTGGGCACTGGTACCCATTTTAGCCGTGCCAATAAATTGAGTGTAGTGTAAACGCGGCTTTATTCAATCGCTTTAAAATTGCGCGTTATTTGCTATAACTTTGATTAAATCTTAGTTTTCCTAAATTGAGGATCCTCTTTAATAATTGTTGGCTCCAAAGATGAAATTTTATCTCTTTTCGAGCATTTTCATAACGGTTAAAAAACAACCCGCCCCTGGTAATGGTTATTTCTAAGTATTATAGCATAAAAAAGATATTGTTAGGAAGCTAAATAACTCCTCTTTCTTGCTATGTAAAAATGAAATTGCTTGACTTGATTTTTAATGCATTACAGAATGTTAAAGTGGCGATTTTTTTTTTGAGACACCATGTATGTTTATAAAAGTGGCTCTCTTACCCTGTTTTTGTAAAAATCGATAGCAGTTGCAGTTCTGTGCTGGAATGAAGATACAAAGCTTGCCCGTCGCAGCCGAACTTAAATGAACGGAGAAACCTAAAAGTGATAAATTATCCATTAATCATATATTCAATAGTTTTGAGGCCTACGTTAGCTCATTTGAGTCGTAGTTTGACGGTCTAATCGCTCGTTATCTAAACATATAGCTATAGAAAGTATAGCCATCATATTACAAAAAGAAGGTTTCTCAACTTACTGGGCAGGCTGAGCAGGGAAGTCCATTTGTGTCGTCAGTAGAGGCGTAAGACTGGGTAAGCTAAAAGCCAATAGATGACTGCTTTCACACAAGCAAACCAAACAGCTGTTGCCTAGATAAAAAAAACGAATAAAACTTGCCATAAACTGCATTTCTCGTTGTTTTGAAACGATTTTCCGACATTTAGCTTCGTTTAAACCCCACTAAATGGCGAATTTTCTTCGAGAAACTGTATGTGGCTAATACTGTATTTTGCTACGGAGAGCGTTGCTTGTGGGTGGTGCGGGTTTAAAAGGATTCCACTTATCCAGCTGATCTAAAATGGCGGGAAAGGACTAGGACAAGCTGTCATATAAAAATCCATTTCTCGGTTGAAACAACATAAGTCATAATACTTAATGAAATATACTTTATTTCGGTTTCAAATTTATGTCAGAGCTAAAGTTCCTATAGCTAAACATAATCACAAAGTTTCGATCGACCAGTTTCATAACAATTAACGAAAGATATAATGGATTAAACATTCCAAAATGGATTTCTAAACTTTCTAAGCGCTGATTCGTTAAATCATGAGCGCGAGATAATCTGGATGGATCTTACTTTACCTTCAATTGAGATAACGTCCGATTTAAGAACGGATTTGTGCTCCGTGAGATCTTTCTTTGAGAACTGCTTATGTGACGGAAGGCAATGAACCTTTGAACACAAAACAGTCATATAAATATCGGTACAGGTAATTATGTGACAAGTAATCAAATTTCTGAGCTCAAATTATTTTCAATTAATTGATTTTCCCAGTTAGTTTTCCAATTTAAACTGTAGAAATTCACCTTAAAAACCATCAGCCAAAAGGCTGAACTGGGCAGTTACAGTACCTCGGCTTCTTTGTCGGTGCATACGACGAGAAAATGCCGTTCGTCACTGTCGTTGGACGAAACCGCTGTACAAGGTACGTCTGGTATGCCTAAAGATGGATGTTCTCATGTTACGAAGCAGACGCGCAATCCAGTTTTGCTTTTAAGGAATTATTTTATCAAGTATAATATAGAGATCAACGCACCTGCACTGCTCCAAAAGTAAGATGGTGATGAAAATAGGTGACCATCTTTATCCAAGACCGAAATACTGTCCACCTCGCCTTTGTGTGCGAACACGAGTCCTTGAAGAAAGAAAAACAGACGATTTGCATGAATCTAATATACTATACCATTACCTAAACCGCAAATCTCTGTTTACAACATCCAACTTAGCCTAGATTTAACGAAGCATAAAATGATTTTGAGGTATTGAAATGAGTGAATAACACGATCGTGGCAGTGGTGTAATCATCCTGACAATAGCATGTGCTTATATGATTTCATAAAGACTTATTTCAATACATCAAAATCACCTCACGCTTCGTTTCATCTTAGGCTTCCGGGCTTATGTAAACCACCCCCTCCCTCTCCAAAATGTAGTTGCATTTCTCACCTGTATTGAAAGTTAGTACAGGCTGTGTCTGTCTCTGTTGTCCAGCCGGGGGAAAACTGGCTGCAAATAGCACAACATTTCCAAGGCTTGTTCCGACCCACAGACACGGACCAACGAGATGCTCTTAAATGAAGTATAAAATAGAACAATATGCGTGACAAAAATTTGTCTGCTTTACCTCTCCCAAAAATACCAGTCGAGTAAAAATGGTGATCAAGTTTGGATTGTCATTGTTTCCTGTTAACCAATTAGATTGTATTCCAACGCGAGACCTAATTTATGGCTTACTCTGTCTGATGTCAGATGATTTTTTTCATAAGTGAAAGAGTACTGTCAGTTAACGAGTTAACAAAACTATCTGTCAGTGTCTCTTGTTAACCCACTAGCTTGCAATGCACCCAGACCTGACCAGCATACTTTTGTATTTTACTCTGTTTAACGCCAGATGATTTTACTTATCAATGGAAGAGTACTGTCAGTTATGTACATGCTTAAATATTACTACTGAACATTTAACTTGGACAAAATCAGGAATACAAGGGCGAATAACTAACCTCCCTTCTTTGTAAATGTATAGGCGCAAGTTAGACACAAAATATTCTCGTTCGGTCTGTCCATACTTAGCAAACTCTGAAGACCGTCTGTATTCGTGACTTCATTTTCACCCAAAGGTTCAAGAGGTTTGGACTTCGTCCGGGTCGCTCGTCGACGAGTGGATTTGTAATCTCGTTGTTTCTTGCTGACGGGGGATTCCACTTCGGGGGGGACACCGCCCGGAGTGCGTGGGGTAATGGGTGTGCTAGGGGTAGAGGGGATCTTTGCAACTGAAGTAGAATGAATGCTTCAGTTAATAACGGAAACTATTATTATTATTATTATTGTTAACAAATATTTATACAAGATAGGAACTTCAGTACCACATGCAGTTAATTACTTACAGTATCTACAATAGGACTGCTATATGATGACCCATACTTTACCCAGATCACTGATAATGTTTAACACATACCGATTAGATCAGATGGATAGAATGTTGAGATTAACTTATTTTGGACTGTGTCGACCAGAACCAGGAAATTAACACTACCGAACGCCAATCTGAAACAAAAAATTCTCTCAAATCAGCTAGTATAGAGTTTGCGAGTTTAAAGCCCCGTTTACACTACATTCAATTTATTGGCACACGGCACGGCTAAAATTGGTACCCGTACCCAATTTTATTAGTGTTCAGGCTACCAAAACAAAGACCGAGCACAGATGAAATAGGCACGGGTACCCATTCTAGCCGTGCCGTGCCAATAAATCGAGTGTAGTGTAAACGGGGCTTAAAGGTTCAAATACTTACATTCCAAAGGCGGAACTCATAGTAAGGTAACACAAGGGTACGATATCCCCGGTGATCTCACAAGTGCAACAAAGCTGCCCTTGAAATCCGGGGGGTCGCTTATTCGCCCCCAATCTGGGACGCCATAAGCACTGATTTACCGGGGAGACTGGGGCGGGTTTGTCTTCACTTGTCTTATTATCCTCTTGAGTCTCTTTGGTGTCCTCAATATCCTCCGATGCACCCGCAGGGTCCTGGCTTCGTTCCAAAACGTCCTCGCTGGATTCTGGAGAATTTTTGGCTTCCGGGTCGATAGGTTTTTCTGAGGTTGTAATTTCGATGGGTAACATCTAACGAAATTATGGAAAAGATTTTCAAATGAAAATTACCCGAAAGTTCAAAGGTTCATACACATGATGCGATTTGCCGCCTACGATTCTTATCCTAGCGTATGCGATCTAGGGGACACGCGTGCAAAATCGAAATTTTAAACTTTGCAATCAGCGAGTGAACAAAAATCTTGCATCAGCACTCGATTCCATTCGTCAAAATGACAATCGTATACGGCTAACCGGTCGTGTAACTGGGGAGGCTCAACTCGATTCTGGTCACAAAATTCTTCTTTTGGAGTGTAAACATTTAGTCAACCCCCCTTAAAGGCTGCTTTCCAGTTACGCGTTTTTTATACGCACGTACACGTACGGAAATTTTTTAAAATGTTTTTACATTCTTATTATTTAACATCTAGGTCAACTAATGTAAACTAAAATATGCAAAAAACTAAGTTCCTTCGATTCATTCACTTAGTTTGTTCAACGATAACATGTATAAGGATTTAGACTTCTACGTGCGTGTACGTGCGTATGAAAAACGGGTAAATGGAAAACAGCCTTAAGGTTATCATCGCAATAATAGCGTAGCCAATCAGAACACGCGTTACGCGACGCTATATACTAGTCCGATTTTTACTGATACATTTAATTTCTACCTAAGGTTACTTACGATTAATTCCATAGTCTTTTCGTTGGTATCAAAGGTAAAATACAAGACGTGGTTCGCAGCGTTTACAACCGCCAAAGTGCGACTGTGGACGCAGAGTTGTACCATTTGGATTCTAAGAAAATCGTAATCTTCTTCGTAAAATTCATCTGAAGTGCTTTCCTTGCTTCCAGTGCTGTCTGTTCGCGATGCCCTCTTTCGCTTGTGAAAGTATTTGTGAGTGGAGAGCTTTGCCGAAAGGGTGAACATCCCTAGAAAGACATGAAACAAGTTCTGTTTTAAAACAAGCATGCATGGGGTGTCTAGTATAGACTTCATGCATGACTATGAAATTATTAGAAAAATTTCTTACCTGAGGACGCATCCCAAAACTTCACTGAACCATCCGCATGCCTGAAAAAAACCCCCAAAATTTTAAAGTCGTAAACAATGGGGCAGGGTCGCAGCTCCTCGCAAGAATGATTATCATTGGCTGAACTTTACAATGCATTTCTGTTTCAACCAATAGCATAGCTTCGTTCTTTAAAAAGCATAGAAAAGCATTATCCAATTGGACAAAAGCTTCCGAGCACTGCGAGATGACCCAAACAATGAACCCTCTTCGAAACTAAATTATAGATGAGCTAATCTGGGGCCGTTTGTATTTAGTGTGTCTTTTAAAACTTCGTAAAACCGTTGTTCAGTATAACCTAGAATAAAACTTATATTAGTTATGCTTTTCAACCCTTTTTATGGCAGGTAAAAAATTGACTAGACGGTGGATAGCGCTATCCGGCCTCGACACAACCGGACCCAGTATATTAAACTTTGCCCCGAAGTTGTACCGACCCTGTGATGATGAGGTCAATTGAATTATTGTCAACATTTTCTCCCAATGTGCCGCCATTGATGGGCCAATCCTGTAAAAAAAATCAAAGACCTTCTGTGAAAGTTAAAATGTACCTTATAATATACAATCGTGCATGTTAATCTATATAATAAATTTGGGCATTTTCTCTATTGATTTAATCTTTCTGTAACATGAAAGATCAGTTTTTAGCTTTCCAATGATACCTACTTCTTCATAACAACAAGGAATTATGAAAAAATTATTAAGATTAACAACTAGTGATCGAAATCAAACTTGTTCAAACGAATGCAAAACGAAGCAAATTTCAGCTAAAACGTGCCAATTAGAACGTCAATTCAATTCCCAGCGGGGAAAGAATGTGGTTTTCGACCAACAATTTAACACCTGATTATTTGGTTATTTCTAGGAATTATAAGCGATGAAAAAGATATATTGTTAGAAATCTAAATTACCCCTCTTTCTTGCTATGTAAAAATCAAATCATTATAGAGTCGATATATATATAATGCAAAACTGAATGTTAAAATACCGATTTTGTTCTCTTTAGCATGCCAAAGGCCCACAGGTCGAAACGGTCGAAACGTGAAGTTATTTAAAACGTTAGCACACTGCTTCGAGTTATAGTTATTGCAGACGATCCATCCATTATTTGCATTTGACATGCATAGATAAAATTTTGGGTATTTGGAAAGATTGGTGAGTGACACGAGTATTGGTTTGGTGCATACGAGTTACGACTAACCTCAGAATATATTTTTCTGTATTTCGATCCTGTGGCGTGAAGATCTTCAAGTAAAGATTGTCGACATTGTCCGACGTAATCCGTAAAGGTCACGGGTGATTCGTGCAGGGAAAACTCGTACGGGATTTCAAATGTCGACATGCTTCAAATAAAAGAAAATTCGATCAGAACACGCTTTCTCATTGGATAGTAATCAGTAAGCAGGCATTTTTATACATGTACAGTAGTCCCTCGCTAACTCGAACTCCCAAGGGGAAAGAAAAATTGTTCGAGTTACCGGGGGTTCGAGTTAACCGGAGTTGGTGTCAGTTGTTCGAAAGGCGTTTAGCTTGAACGGTGGATAAGCCAAAGTTTAAAAACGCTCTCATACATCATGTGAATGACTGAAACTACATTTTATGCATTAAATATGTTCTTTCGTTGAAAATTAGACTATTTACATCGAAATATTTCAGCTCAGTAGTTCAATAAATCGATCGTTTTGTTTTCCATTTTGAACTTATCCACCGTTTAAGCTAAACGCCTTTCGAACAACCAGCCCTAGTTAATTGATCATGCATTTAGCTGTTTAGCAACAACCAATCAGATATGGCATTTCGATTGGTACGGGCTAGCTCCTAATTGCGCCTTTGACACATTAGTTTTCGTTAGTATTAAGTTTAAAATTGTAGCTACTTACTGGCTAACAGCGGGGTTGCTCAGATCATAAACAATCAACTCAGTTTGTAGAAGAACGATAATCCCAAGGGCAGCTTCTTCGTCTGCAAAGACATAAAATTGTTTATCAGTGTCTATTTTTAACCCATTTAACTCAACAACTGTAGTATTTTACTCTTCTAATGCCAGATGATTTTAGCTGTCAGGGGCCGGTTGTATCAAGCCCGTTTAGCTTAAACGGTGGATAAGTTCAAAATAGAAAGCAAGTCTATCGTTTTATTCAACAAGCATACAAACTAAATGTTTTCAACCTTAATACAAAGATACTGTTTAGAACTACATATCCAGAGCATAATATTCAAGTTGACTCATTCATGAAAGATGTAAAAGTGTTATTTAACTTTGACTTATCCACCGTTTAAGCTAAACGGGCTTGATACAACCGGCCCCAGAATTTTAAAGCAAATTTATAGTCATATTCAACATCTTCTTACCGCTTTCCCAAGGGGTGGCCGTGATCGGGACGAAATCCACAATGGGTTTTGTATGTAAAAGCTTCTTCGTTTTTCCCTCCATAATCGTTAAACCTTTGAATTTGCTGCCATAGCTCAGACCGCCAGAAAACAGGAAACACGAATCCCTAAAAAGAGGAAAATTAATGTTCTCAGTCTCAGAACAAGGACAAGCTTCTTCTTCAGGGACAAGCTTCTTTACTATACGACAATGCAAACTTTAAAATCCCATTTTTGCAAAAAAATTCTTGGTGTTGAGAAACAGTCATTTTTTCTTACCTGACCAAACAAACTTTATTGATAGGCGAGCACACGGTCGTTTGCGATCCATCACCCTTGGTTTTTCCTAGAAGAACAATGATAAGCCATGTTTAAACAGCACAAACTTTATCTACAGCAATGCTAGTTATTTTTAAGTGAGAATGCCCTTAACCTGACACGAATGGCCAGTTTTCTGCATTTCTGATCTGCAAGGCATTTGACTCGTTCCTGTCGAGTTAAACTTTCATTGAATCAGACATGATTTCTAGAATAATCACGCGTGTCTGTATACAACTTAGATTTGGGTTAATCTAAATTTCAAGAACCGAATCAGCTATGAAAAATCGGGGAAAAGTATATTTTTAGGAGCTCTTTGAACAATACAAACTAATTATCTATTTCCAAACCAATTATTTCAAAAGTGACATATCGCTTCCGAACTAACAAATGCTGGTCCATATTAGCTAAATTTCTCTCACTTGTGCAGGCTCATGCATATTGTCAACATTATGTCAGATTAAGATCACAGGAGAAAATGCAGAGATTCTTATTCTTCGTCTGGGAACCGCTGAGAACCTGAGCAGAAACTTGACAGTTCTGACGAGAATGAGAATTACGTACTTTTATCTAATTACCCAACACCCACAGCCAATAGGGAGCTTTAGCAGTGACAACGAGTACGACTACGAGTACGAGATTCGTCATTCTCGCGCGTTTTTTGCTTACGCCATCAGCCAAAACTCGTAGTCGCCGAGCTTTTGAGTACGAGTTTTTTGGATAAATTTCGTATCGAAAGCCCAACGACTATACGAGTTTTGGCTGATGGCGTAAGCAAACAACGTGCGAGAATGACGAAACTCGTACTTGTAGTCGTACTCGTAGTCACTGCTAAAGCTCTCTAGTATATTAAGGTAAACACCCCTCAAACAATAATACCATACCGTGTGCGTGCGGGGTGAACATCTCCACTGGTTTTTGAGTATTTTTTATATTCCACACGGCCAGACTGCCGTCTTCGTGACTTGAGACAAATTGTTTGCCATCGTTGAACCAACAGGCACTGCGGAACGATTTCTAAATTCATGGAAAATAAAAACCAAATCGCAAATATGAATACACATAACGTAGCATCAAATGTGGTATAAAAACTGCCTAAAATAGGCAAAACACTTTTCGACGTTTCGACCTGAGGACCTTCGTCAAGCCGGAGAGTTAGAAGGAATTCCCTGAATTAATATACACATAGTTTAACACATTTCGGATATGTTTGCACTACGCACGCAAAATTGACCGAATTTTCTATATAGCTATGGCTCTGGTGGTTGCGTTCAGGAAAATATAGGAACAGAGAGCTCAATTAGGAACATATATTAACGTACATCGAATGCACTCAGGAACAAATAAGTGCAATCAGGAGTACTATATACGTAGAGTGAGTACAATAGGGAACATATACTTACAGTACAAGGACCGCATTTAGGGACTTATGTGTACATCCACTCATATATAGCTAACGAAACCTATCTGCCGTCAAAATTGTCACGACTTTGTCATTAGTGCGTGCTCTATCTATTCCTGGTATTACAAATATCCATTTGTGGAATATGATGTACGGGGGAGCATCTAAACGAACTGTTTATTACCTGTGGAGATTGAAAACGCTGATCAACAACTTTGCCCTTTAAATCCCACAACACAATCAAACCCGACTCGTAACCAAGCAATAACTACAAATTTAAGCAAAAAACGCATAGTTTTCAGAATTATTCAGCATTTCAACCATATTTTTCACACACAGAAATCTTTTAGGAATCAATAGAAAGACCTCCAGTGGGTTATTTTGGTAATGATACCTGGTGCTGCTTGGCAAGGAGTAGTTCAAAAGTTTAAACCATAGACAGTTAGACACTACAAACAATGACTGGAGGAGCCATTGCCAAACAACACTCTACATCTACACTGTATTAATTTCCTAAAAAACTAACAATTATCCCATCAAACTTTTAAAGCACCTAGCTATTCTTCATGAACAGAGGTGGCAACCAAACTACAGTTTGTAATTTTATCTGTTTGATAACTTTGATTAGACTCTAATTCAACATGTAGTGATTCATTGCCATCGACTCTGCTCTGAAATCGAAAGTTTCAGAAATTGTTGATTGAGACACTCACAAACCTTGCTTTCATCTTGAGGGTTTTCACAGATATCATAAAGAGGACCAGGGTGCTCCCTCTGGGACCTACAGAATATTGAAAATCAATAGTTGGATCTGATGTAGGTATAATATCAATCAGGAGTATATATTTTCCATTCAAAATTCCGTTACGCACCTTTCAATAGCTTTATTCCAGTGAATAGTGTAGCCAGATAGTTGAAATGATTCAATATTTACAACATGAACATTGCCAGCCTTTGTTCCCAAATAAATCCACTTGCTTTGAAATGAAAAACTCACACTTGCTATGCTAAAGACAAAAAAGATTGCTTGATAATAAACACAGAAAAACAATTAACGGATCATGTTCCCTAGGGGAGTGAGGGTGCACCTGCTCTTTCCAAGGACCTTATAAAAAACAGGTCAATGGATAAAAACAGGACAGTCCTCTCAACCTATGAAGGAAACTCTGATTATAATTTAAAAGTTACAGACAAGTTCCCACTGGGAATAATCCCAAAAACATTAGTCTGTATCAGTTTTCTATTAAACCCAGCAGGGCCTGCTGTAGAACCATAGGCAGCCCAGAATGATTGGTATTTATCAAAAATATGGTTTTATCAGCGCAGCTTAAAAGCTTTAATAGCCTATTAAAGCTTTTAAGCTTTGCCGATAAAACCATACTTTCAATAAATACCAATCATTCTGGGCTGCCTATGGTAGAACCTGTTTAATCCAATTTGAAACTTAATTCTATTGAATTCTATCCGACAATTTTTTTGTGTAACAAGTTAAGGCTTTGGCACAACATGTCCCCACCCCATGCCCCTCAGTCCCTACCCACTCCTGTTTAATAACAGCTGCTAATATTACGCATGTACTTTGCCCCTCAGTCCCTACCCAAGTGCTCCTGTTCCATAACAGCACCTAAGATTATGCATGTACTTGCATACATGCATCCAGATTTGGCCTAATTTAATAAATATTTCACTCTGCTTAATGCTAAGCAATTTTGCTTATAACAGAAAGAACTGTCAATTGACATCGTACCTGTCACGTTTGTAGTTAAAATGAAGGGAATGAACAATTGCTGGTTTTCTGTGGCGTAGATTCCATAAATGAAGTGAGTCATCAGAACAGACACTGACCAAAGCACCCTTAAAGAAACAAAGAATCTATAATCATACTTATATAATGCTTTGAGGTCATGGCTTTACAAATTAAAACAAGTTTGCAAAAGTTAACTAAGTTTTAAATCATCAAAATTAGGATTCCACAGGATATTTTGTGCTGGCGATATTTGTGGTACATATTGTATACTGAATCAAAACTTTTAATTGATTTTAAATACCAAGATATCTATTTTGGCACAGATTCTTGAATGCACACAATCTATTTGTTATAAAGCTACTCACTATAGTGTAAGGTTGTAAACCCTTGGAAAGATTGAAATAGACGGTCTGGTTGTTATAAATAAATACATTACTGACCTCATTAATTAAAAACAACAGCTTCTGAACAGCGACTTTCTTATCATGTGTGACAGTACATTGAACTCCAGGCTGACCATAACTAAAATTCTTGTTAAGGATTTGTGTTATATCACATCATGCAGGACTACTTGTGTACTAGTCGTTTAGCAGTGTCTATATACCAGAGATTAGCTAGGGACCTTAAGATACACCAAATGCAGACGTGACATGAAATCAGCTGGCAATGTTAGGAACCCATGCAGCTCTGACCTTGTTTACCAAAAGGATTCAATAATATTTATTCCTGTTGTGAAACAGTGGAAATGAAGATAGCATTACTTCACGTCCGCATCGTAGATTTGGTGCATCTTAAAGTCCTTAATGTGCTTAGCAGCACTAGAAGAATTGCGGGGTTGTTCACAAATTAAATTGGTTAAGGTTACACACAGATGGGGTGTATTACGTACCACCAACAAACATGTAAAGACTATATATATTTATATTCTTGTATTTGGTGTCAAAAGGTTGTTTTTGTTTTTTATTCCTTCCTTCCTTATTGTTATTTCCTATTGCACTGATGAAGGCCCGGTTGACAGACCAAAAGCTTTGCAGTATTAAATACTTATGTGGTGTGCCTACAAGCTAAATTACGTACTATATAAATTATTCGTTTATAGAAATCATTGATATATAGAAATCATTGATACAGGATTAGATATGCATTAGCCCTAAAACAAGCTATTTCACAGCTGGCTATCTGAACAGCATGTTGCAACTACCTTAATAACTCTATTAAATCCTGGAGCATAATTTATAAATCAAAGCATGCAGACAAGTCAGAGAATTATAATTCAGTCATATCTAACCCGCAGAGTGTTGTTTCAATAGTTACGGGAAAGCTCTAGGTATAAGATCTGAAATCAGTTTTGTCACAGTGAGATATACAAGTAAAAAGAACACATTAGAAACAGTTATTGTTATTCCTCCCTTTCCCTGGCATACAATTATTACAATAATTAGAACACAGCTTTCATCAAGGCCATATAAATAGGTTCTTAATAGCCTGTTGGACAATGGTGCGTCCAAATGCACTGTATTAAAAACACTGATGAAATCTGACAATTACAACATATTTCAGCCAAAGCCTGAAAAAATACAGTTGAATAAGGGATGAACAAAACTACAGGTGTTTCTTGGCAACCCACAAGTTTACATTATTAACTAGATTCATCCCCACTTTGACATTATTTCACCCAATGTAATGCCTTTAGAATCATTTCACTGACCCATACCAGCTAATGATGTAATAACGATGTCCAAATATGTATATATATATTTCATGTACACAAATTGTCTAAAAAATGTACCTGATAATATTCCAAAAGGGACCATGCATATGTTAATATTTTCACACTCATCTAGCTGATACAAGAATATCTCACATTACAAGGAATTATAGTTTTAGTTTCAAGAGTTATGCTTGGGGTATGAACCTCTGTCCCCTGGCCTTGATCTTTAATTATAATGTCAAAGCCCAAAACATATTAAAGATAAAACCATATCCAATGTTGATCTATGTTGACAGTGTAACAAACAATACACAACAATGTCTGGCAGAAATTACTTCCTATTACACCCTTCCTGGCACGATTATATAATTAAGGGAAACTCGTTAAATGATTTACTAATTCTATTAAATATTATCTTTAAAAGCTGCCTTGGGATTTCAAGATCTCTGCACGAATTTCGACTGCATCTATAAATGCAATTTCGCAGCCAAATTTGCGACAAATTAAACAGCCGAGTTTTAAATATAAATAAGAAATGCACAATTACAATTTAAGTAATAGAAAGTCTGATATAAACAAGAATAAAGTTGCTACAAATATGCCACATTTTATAACGTGTTGTTTGCTGAGGTCAACAATTCAAAAAGCAAGTCGTATAAAAGAAAATGAAGGGTAAATGAGCTGGGATCATTAGCGTTTTTTTAAACAGGTGCATCTCCGAAGACGGCAAACTTTATACGCCTCGAAGCTAGCATAAAATGCCCGCCGATCAAGAGATCGTATTAAATTTGACAAAAAAGATACAAGTTTATACAGCCTTTAGCTGTACCGATCGCCAGCAACTTCTGCAAAGGATCGTAGGAAAGGCAGGTGGGTTTGTGAGGAAATCCATGCCGAACAGTCTGCAAGGGATAAAGGACAATGTTAATAGCATTAAATGCTTACAACAGGACGTATTTAATAAATGGCCTAAAGTGATCACTTTATTTGTAAATACCTTCATCAACGAAAACTGTTCGGCTCGTAGTCTCTCGTCTATCGGTTCTTCATTCTTATTGCTATTCGCAGTGTTAAATAAATTTAAATTCGGTACTATACGGCTGGTGGTATTTCTAAATTTTCTCATAAATACATCGGTTTTTAAAACAAAACAAACTTGCAAACGACTCACTCTGCAGACACTTGCATATATTTCGAAAATATCAGCCCGCATGCCCGCCGCACATCGCCTGTTTACCACTGAACTGCGGTGCCGTAATCACTGGATGGAAATATTTTTTCATACATTTGGTGTTTAATCATAGGGCCATAGACGGCCAATTAAATGTTGTGAACTTTTATTAAGATTTTTTAATAATATATATCTAAACGTCGTCAATTTATAATAAAAATTATTATAAAGAAAGCAAGAATAATTTAAATTGGTGAAATATAGCTTATCATAATGATAAACATTTGCGTACGACTCGATAGTATAAACAGCGGATGATGTGTGTATATAAAAATATACTAAGGTTGGTAACTCTTTTGACTTTTTCAAATACACTTACGAAAAAAACTCCATATTTCCGTTGAACTACGAAGAAACCAGCAGTAAAAACCACGCTAATATAAACAAGGATAATTTAACTAACCTGTCTGCAACATATTTTGTGAAAATACATAACTTCAAACACTCGTAAACTACAGTAAACAATTTTGCAGTATTTCGCCGATTTTTTTTTTGTGACCAGTCGAGATCCTCTCGCTTCTGCAGGAAACACATTTTTCGAAATCATAACGCGGTTGTTTATTGGTTCTCGCAATTTACGACGTTAGCGTCTTGGCTTCTGTGGCGAAGTAACTAGGCCTAGCACGGCCATGTCTTTGTTTCAAAACCGATTCCAGTTGAAGTAATTTCTGATTGTGACTAGACCTTAGACCATATTATCCGATGTCATATTCATTTGAAAATCATCCGATATTTTCCTGTTTCTTCGTTTCTCGCGGACTGGAAAGTTGACTGGATGGGTTATAACGGCGCGTATTGCCAAGTTAAGGATCGCGTGCAAATTTCAACTGGACTACCCTCAATACCAGCATTATTCCGACCTACCTTGAATCCTGCACCTCTGCGTCAATCATATTTAAGAAAAACTCGCTTTTCCATTGCGGGCTAGCTAATTTCCCGCGAGGAAATTTTATATGAACAATCCAGATTGTATATGAACCAACAAAAGAAACACGCATTAAATATGACAATGCTTTCCAATTTTTTTGAAGAATTAGGGATAAACCCCATTTATAAATTAGAAGCGTTAATCCATTGACCTTTGTGCGCACGGACACTGTAAATACCAAGATATAGCTAGCTTACGAAACCACAAAGACAAAGTAAAAATTTAAAGAGATTACTACGCCTACCAAAAATTTCTCTAAATCTTTCACCTCTCAACATTTTCAGGAGGTTGGCGTTCCATATTTTCTAATCACTAAAATATCTTTTAATGGCGTAACACCACATCTGAGGACTTTCAGTAGGGCACGCGATCCTTAGCTAGGCAATAAAGTTTACATTTTACTAAAAAACAAATTTGATTTTTCAGTTTGCTATTTAAATTTTTTCCGTTCAAATTACTTTGATTACTTAGATCGATCTAGAAAGGGTATAATTATTCGTTCTTCAAAGTGGAAGTAGGCCATTAAAAATTGAAAAATGCACTTTTCTGGCAAATTTTTGCCCAAAAAACCCCAACACAGTTTTACGGAATTTCTCACTCCTCGATCGATGCTCTTCCCATCTCTTTTGCCGCGCGTTTTATTCGCGTGGCTTCCACTATAATCAGCAAATTATATTTAAAACCTGCTTCATTCGTGCAATAACTGCATTAGTTATATGAAGTTATCTTTCCAGTTTTATTAGGAGGAAATTCAATAGCAAATGCCAGTTGCGTCAGAGCTGTACTGATTGCATTATACACTTACTTAATGTATGCTCCCGAGGGAAATAGCGAGTTTTGTTTTCCCGAGAGTCTCGAGGGAAAACAAACTCACTATTTCCCGAGGTAAGGTACATTAAGTGTTTTGTTATATAGGAACGAAAACATACATGTTACACAATAATTTCATTTAAAAAAGAAACCCACTATACTATTTTATGACATGAGGCGGGCAACAATTTTTCACTTGTTTCCCTGGCGGGGAACATTGCATTTATTTAAAGTCATGTGACTACGAATGAACCAATCACATTTAAAATACAAAGCACCTATATAACAAAATTCATTATAGCTAATAAGAACAAGAATCAAATAAGCGCTAATGACGCACTTACACAAATGCGTTTTCATACTGAGCATTAACCCAAAGTTCCTTCATTTTTAAATAAAAGTAGAAACAGAGTCACTGACTAACACGCTAACTGATTTTCATTCAGTTGAGACGCGTCTAAAACTATAAAATACTGTTGTATACAATAAACTGCAAATCCTACAAATTCTACTGATCTAAGTTAAATATAGAGCGAGTTGCACCATATCGGATATCACTTTTTATACCAATTTTCATTCCTTTTTTCCACCAAAATATATTTCGAAATCGAAACCCTAGTCCAGGTCAGATCTAGGTCTCTAGTGTAAACAAAACTTAAATAGGAGTATGAACTGTAGTTTTTACGTTCAAAAACTTTATATTTAAGACTGGCAATCGGAGTTAACGCCAGAACAGGCGTGTTGTTATATATAAACAATGAATTATTAACTATGTAAGCAGCAAGAAAAAGAAAATCTAGTCTATTACCTAACCCAGTGTCCTTGAATGATTGTGATCTCAGTCGCAATCCACACCGACATCACGATGATGGCCACACCACGAGGTAGGATTATTCCATCCATTATGACTGCAATCCCAGATGAATGATTCATCACCAGAGCATCGAACATCAGAAAGCAATATAGGACCACTTCCTTTGCCATAGTAAGCCCGTGCCCTGATCTTGGTCGCTCTAGAGAAACCCAACTGACGACATGTGACGTTACCGAAAGCTTGGTCAGCGTAATCACAGACTGTGCCCCAGCCAAGTGTTGGATGATAGATTTCCACTCTTCCACTCATATTGTTACTTGAACCATTCAATCTGATTTTCAGTTCAGAGTTGGCTATAACATAGACAATTACACATGTAAGGAAAGAAATCTTCTAGTTGACTTTCAGACGCCCTCATGTCTCTTTTTTCTCTCGGGCAAATACGTACTACGGTATATAAACGAGTACATTTCTATTAGTCCTATAATCATTCATGACTAGTTTTCTTGCCATTACTCAAAAAACAGAAACAATTTGGTTAGTCAAGGAACAATAAATTTTGTTTAAATTAAAGACATGTTACTCATCTGATATTTTCTGGAAAAAAATTCCTGTCAGTTGCTAACAAATAAAGCCTGTATTAATACAATCATCTTATTGTTTCATGACTTCATTTTGGTTACATACTGTCAAAAGAATAATTAAAATTGAAATAAACACAACCAAAATTCAAACATTTTGTTAATTGCAATTTTGTCCCTGCCTCTTACGGACATGCATAACAAGAGGTTATCGTGGGCATTTTTTAAATATTTTAAATTTATTATATGGTTGGGGGCATTTTACTGAGAACTAAAACACTCGTAAAACTCATCACTCCTGGCATGGCCAAAACAGTATGTCGTGTCAAAAACAGTATGCCACTCGAACATAAAATCCATATTTACTCGCAACAGTGTAATATCCTATACTTATTGAATATTGGCTCCAACCTTAGTTTTGGGAACGACTTTCGGACTATTTTATATTTTGTTAGCTCATCACATCCTTCTTCCTAAACCCGCACCTGCTTAATCTATATAACAATTGTTTTCAATATAATAAAAATGTTTTCACAGGGTAACGGGATTGGTTCTGTTTGACCTTGAAAGCAATGGATCTTGGAGGTCTCTTTCCCCAGCTTTCTGCCTGAAATCATTGCCATTATGTTATATTTCATTCTATGTTTCTCATAGAAAAAATCGGCAAAAATTAAAGTAACGGTATCTCTTCGTTACAATTTTTCCAATGCATCATTTCGAAAACTCCCAAAAAGTATATATATAGCGTGTCGTGCCGGACGTTCAGGGAATGTGAAAAAGCAAAGAGATAAACAGGAGGGTACTCACCTGGCGCAAAATGCTTTAGAACCAACTTAATACGTTCCTCGGTTTAATAGGAGACAACACACAGGAGGGCGTACGTACATTTTGTGATGGGTGTGATAAATATGACAATCAGAAGTTTTATAAAAGTACAGAATGTTTTCTTGGCAATTTCCATTGTTATTCAATGAATAAGTATTGGTACTAACGGCCGCGATAGGGGACAATTCAAAGAGAAATTTGTTATCAGGCACATGTGGACTTGCATGAAAGCAACAATACTATATTTAAAAGGGCTTCCTTTGTTCCAGTGAAAAGTACAAAATACATTTATTACTAGACAGAAATTGAAAAAAAATCTGTTGATCATTGAAATGCTGAGATTGCCAGTAAAGCATGTAATAAAAATAATATGCGTCAACCGTATTTGGAGAAATTTTTGAGCTTATCTCCGCCAATTCGCTGTGCCGTCCCCCTGGAAAATAAGTAGACCGAAACTGAAAAACGAATTATAAGAAAAGTTTGGGTACTTACCAGAGCATTTCACTTCGTCGAAAAATGACTTATCCTTGCACGAACAAATGTAAGAGCCTGGAGTGTTGTTACACCAGCGTTCATAACCAGTGAGATTGCATGGGGATGACATGCATTCATCAATGTCTAAACAAAATATTTAGAGTCTAAATTATATAATTATTGGCTGAACTAATCATAAAAAAGTCGAGCAAAAGTCATGTCAACCGATCTCGAAAATTAAATGCATTGAAAATTACATTCATTGCTGAAAAAATATCGCGCATGCTTTGAAAATCTTTGTTGTCACTAAATTAATATCACACGCAGTTATAAAGCATGCCTTATACCCACCTGTACAAGCCTGGCCACTGACATTGAAACCACTTTCACAATGACAAGTTCGTGAACCATTGATGATCGAACAGTAGCCGTTAAGACATTTGCATTTCCCTGTAAATTAAAATCAGTGGGTATTTTTTTACAAGTATTTGGATTTCACCGCGAAAATTAGGATTTCA